TGCAGTGGTGCATGTGGCCCTATGCCAGGCTGGCAGCAGCAGTCAGGCGACAGGAAAGCCTGGTGGGGAACAGAGCTCGACCTGGAGAATGGGAGGCAACCCTCCAGGGCTGTGGAGTACTAATTTACCCTAGAGAGAGGGCTCTAACGGGGAAGGACCCCCCAGGGTTGCAAGGGGGCACCACGTGGGCTGCTCCTGGGTGACAGCGGGGGAGCTTAGGAGTCTTTGAGGCCTCGCCCTCCTTTTCTTCCCCCCCCTCTTTCCTGTAGTGGTACCTTGGGAGTGGGGCCCCTGTCCTGGAGGGCACCCAGGTAGTCTAAGGATTTCTGGTTAAACTTGTAGACTGTGCCTTATAGTTTATGTGAATAAGTTGAAGTAATAGTGTGTATATTAATATAGTTATAAGATTGCCCGATCAATATCCTTTGTTCTGGGTTGCTCTATGGTCCATCTGTATTTTTAAATAAGTGTGTGTGTGTGTGTGTGTGTGTGTGTGTGTGTGGTATAGGGTATACTGTTTTGTAAATTTGTACATATACATATAATTTATGTCCTTACCCTTTAATGGTTTTGTTGTAATAATAAATTTGTATATGGTTAAGTAATTGATTGACTGGGCCTAACTCTATAGGGGATGGAGGTGGCCGCTGGGCTGTTGTGTCCCTCCACAGCACACCACCCTGCCAATAATTCCCTCAGTTGGAGAAGGGAGTACCAACTCATGTACACCTGGGCTACACTAGCATGTCTGAATAGTTTGTTCTTCTTCTTTCCTCCCCAACCAGCCACATTCATGCACACACACACTTCAACAAATGAAAAATGATTTTTAAGCTGTTTGTTATAATCTGATTCTCTTAATCAATGCATCACACTGAAATTTAATTAAAGTATGAATCTGAAAAAACTATTTACATGGTTTTTTCCCCAATGCTTTCATAATCATTGTTGCTTAGTTTTCAGTTTTATAATTTATAACGTATGTCAATCTGGGTGCTTCTATATGTGACACTATGTTGCCGTAGCAACTCACTATGGCGACATAGCATCCACAGATGTCTAAACAGTGGCTATTTTGCTGCATCAGCACACTCCCCCATTATAATGCACTGATACAGCAAATTAATTGCTAAAAGTAGCTATGTGCCATACATATGGCACAGTATGAGCAGTTATTGTGCTATGCTTTAGTACTTCCAAAAGCTGTAGGGCAACATGTAGACACATCCTCCAGGTCATAAAAAATGGGCACACAAACTACAAAAACACATCTGCCAGGGAACAGGGAGTGAGGCTAGCTTTTCAAGATGACTGCTGGCTTCTGACAGGTGTGACCAAAGCCTCAATCTGTCCCCATTTGGCAGCAGAAGCCCATTGCAGGGCCACAGGAAGTGACAGTAGTATTCTCATGGGAATAGGAAATCTGTTTCCACATCTCTGCATGTGTAGACACCTGCATGGGAGCATTTACTTGAAAGTAGTTTACTCCCAAATAAATTGATCTCAGATTGAATGCATGTGTAGATGGAAGCCCTATTTTGTAGGAAGGTATCAGGAAATTAAATGAGATATAAACTGTGTATTGCTCAGGGTAAAAAGCATCAAACCTACAATGGAAATGTGAGAAGCTGAAGGGATTGACATCTAACTGAACATGTGAGGTTAAGAATATTAACCAATGTAGCACAGTATTAAAAGTTTGCCTGTATTCCATATCCAAAGCAGCCTATTTTAGTTGCTTATTCATCTAGGTTTTCCATACATCTGAGGTTTCCCTGACTCTTTTTGGGTCCTTTCATCTTCATCTGGGTGGGTTTTTTTAATATCAACAAATGTCTGGATTTTGTTCTGCTCAGCATCAAAGATTTTTTTTCCAGCACTTCCCGGCTTGCCCCAGCACAGAGCTGTTTGGGGCTGTTGGAGGGGTGGGGAATTGGAGGCAAGGGTATCATGTGGGTCTGTATGTGCACCCCGGCAGCTGCAGTCAGGTAAGTCTATGGGGAGGGGGTCTGGAGGGCCAGGGCTGGGGATTGTCGGGGAGGGGGGATGTGTGTATGTGCACTGTCTAGGTGCTAGGGCTGCAGCAGGCTGGGCAGGTGGGGGAGGTACCTGGTGGTCCAAAGGGAGAAGGGGGCAGGGGCAGTTCTTTGGGGGCAGAGCTATGTGGGCAGCAGGGCTGGGTGGAAAGGGGCCACAGGTCAGGAGTGAGAGACACCAGCAGGGCTGGGGTGGGGGCTGTGGCTTGGGAGTGAGGGGCAGTGGGGGAGCAGGGGCTGTGGGTTGGGAGCACAGGGCACAAGCAGTGTCAGGGAGCTGCAGGTCAAGAATGAGTGGTATCAGCAGGGACAGGGGAGCTGTGGGTTGGGACTGGGGGTGCCAGCATGGTCTGTGGGGCAGGGTACTGTGGGCCAGAAGTGAGAAGCAGCTCAGGGCTGGCAGGGAGGCTGTGTCTTGAGAGTGAGGGGCAGGGGCAGAGCACAGACATATCACTGCCCCACCCCACCTCCACTCCTCCTGCCCATTACCTCTCCTGTGACGTGTGCTCTTTTCTGAAACTGGAAATATGGTAACCCTGATTCACCAATTCTTTGCAACTGAGAAGCTTCAAAATGCTTCTGGGAACTCATTATCCAGGGAAATGACATGATACCTCTACATGAATGTTATAAGTTACTTATGTTGTAACTGCACAGGCAAAAGAGACAGGCGGCTTTTCCCAAAATCAAGGACAGAAACAGGTTCTTTGATAGTTTCTTTTAGAAGCAGGAAAGGTCTCTGAGACTTTCTGAGCAGGGAAAGATGCAGATGTGAAAGGATTCCTCAATTCTGATTTCACAACCCCACCTCTCCACTTTACTCATTTACTCCTCTCGCATTTTGACAGAGGGGAAAAGATATCTGAACTCAAGGCTTGTAAACATGGGTGGTTAGGTAAAATTAACAAACTGTAACATCTGCAGTGGAGTGAGAATTTGATCTTGAAGTGAACAACCTTTGTCATTCTGTGAGTGCTTACTGCTGATCTGACTGGAATGCTTCACTACCAAGGCACCTGGAAGCTGTGATGGTATAAAATGTATCATCTTCCAGGTAACTATAATAATGGCTTCTTCAATCTTTCTTTTAACCTAGCATGTCTGAATATTTTTTTTTCTTCTTCTCTCCCCAACCAGCCACATTCCTGTATGCATAGCTCAACAAATGGAAAATGATTTTTAAGGCCTTTGGTATAATCTGGTTCTCTCAGTCAATCAATCAATCACATGGGAATTAACTGAATTAAAGTATGACTCTGAAAAAACTATTTCCATACATTTCCCCCATCCTTTAATAGTCACTGTTGTTTATTTTTTAGTATTCTGACTTACAATATATGTCAAGCCAAGTCATAAAAATGGGCATATAAACTATATATAGTTAAAATATATATAATCTACACAGGTACGAGGATGGATAGGCAGACAGACAGGCATGTGTGTATATATATATATATATATATATATATATATATATCTCCTGACTATATATATATAAAGTCAGAAGATATAGATATATATAAACTTACCTGTCTGTCTGCCTATCCATCTGTACATCCTCATACTTGTAGGGTAAGCCATTTGTCAGATACCTTGCATTTTACTGGTTATTCCAAATAGCCATATAACCAATGTAACTATCCAAACAAATGGTAGTTTATCACTGCTTTCCCTTCCTAGAAGAGCACAAAAAAAAATAAAAAGTCATACTGGAGAAATGCAGAACTAATTCAGAGTTCATCTTTGCAATGTGGGCCACTTTAAATGAGGAATTTGTCAGACTGATGTAACCTAAACAGTTGTCCTCACACCCAGGCACAGATTAAAGCTGTGGCTAGAGCGAAGCTGAGCAGCTAGACACCTCTCCCACTTCTCCTAGGGTCAGCAGTCAGGGGCAGGTCCCTCAGCTATGGACGAAGGGCCATAGTGCAATAGTGCAGATGTGGCACCATAGGATGATGCTAGGGTCAGTATACAAACAGATCTGCAGAGCCTCATACATCAAATGACACCCCCCTCCCCTGCTGATGAAAATGTTCTTTTCACTTCCCCAGCTGGAACAATTTCTACACCTTCCATATACCTGAATGCATAAAAGAGGTCAAGGGATATTCCTGCTCTCCTTCTATGCCTCACCAAAAACTTCTATATTGCCCTACTGGTATCACAGGACTTTCAATATGCACTCATTTTTGTTGAAAAGCAGAGCTATAGCAATAATGGAAATTCTAGAAAGTTAAATAAATAGAATCGTGTTTTTTCTACTAAAAAAGAAGTTGTAATTACCATTATTGTTGTTGTTTAATGTCATAAATATTACTTGGCGAATCTAAGCACGTTCTCCCTAAATTCAGCTTTAAACTTATTCTTAACGCTTCTATAAAATAAGTGATAAATTGTTTCATGTCCAAATATATAAGTAAAAAGACAAAATGTTTGATTGTTTTAACAAAGTCCAAATGCACAATTAATTTTATTAATTTTATTTATTTATGTATTTATGTATGCATTTGCTTATTTCAGCAAACACTTTACCAGAATTTACACCAATTCATTAAATGTTTTGGTGTTCTTGAATCTGTTGCAGTGATGTAGCAATAACTTTACTCCATTCTTTCTGGTGGCTGTGGACATGACATTTTCATACATAAAATTAAATAGGATTCATCATCAGACGCCCTTAAGAATTTTTAATTGAAATTGTACTAATAAAATATAAGAAATGCAGTGAATTCTGAAAGTACCATTCCAATTCATTGAGTCTATATTTTTCCTTCATTTAAAAACATAAAGTTAAACTTACCATTGTTATAGAATCTAAAGCAAGCTAATCAATACAAAAATCCTCCTTTTGTAATAATGATCTCAGTATTTTCCTCATCATTGCTGAATAGCTGCTTACTGTTCATTTCTGTATTTTATGTCTTGGCAGGTGAATTAGCATCTTGCTGAATACTGATTATATGCACTGACCACATGGAACCTGCCCATAATGTGTCTGAATTTGTTTTACTGGGACTTACTCAGAATCAGGAGTCAGAACAAATCTGTTTTGTGCTGTTTTCATTGTTCTATGCAGTTACTGTAGTAGGAAACCTCCTCATCATTATCACTATCAAGAGCAGCAAAAGTCTGATTTCCCCCATGTATTTCTTTCTAAGCTACCTTTCTTTTGTGGACATCTGCTACTCTACTGTAATAGCTCCCAAATTGATTGGAGACTTCCTAGTTGAGAGGAAAACCATCTCATTCGCTGCTTGTATGACACAACTATTCTTCGGTCATTTCCTTGGTGGTACTGAGATGTTCCTCCTCACAGTGATGGCTTACGATCGGTACATTGCTATCTGCAAGCCGCTTCATTACATGACAATCATGACTGGGCGTGTGTGTGGCTGGATGGTGTTGGGTTCCTGGACAGGCGGGTTTCTGCATTCCATTGTACAGACTCTCCTGACCACTCAGCTCCCATTCTGTGGGCCTAATGAGATTGATCACTATCTCTGTGATGTGCAGCCTTTGCTGAAACTGGCTTGTACTGACACCTACGTTATTGGCCTCATGGTTGTTGCTAATACGGGGATGCTTTCCTTGACCTGTTTTGTTGTGTTAGTTACATCATATTTTGTCATCTTAGTCTCTTTGAGAAGGCGTACTACTGAAGGGCGCCTCAAAGCTCTCTCCACTTGTGCCTCGCACATCACTGTAGTGGTTTTATATTTTGGGCCATGTATCTTCATGTACTTACGACCATCAATAACCTTTCCAGAGGATAAGACTGTCTGTGTGTTCTACACTGTCTTCACCCCTATGCTGAATCCACTAATTTATACACTGAGAAATGAAGAGGTGAAAAATGCCATGAGAAAAATGTGGATCCAAAAAGTTGACTTAGACGATAAATGAAAATTGTTAGGTTTCAGAATAGGTCTTTTAGAAACTGGGTAAACTAGTTTTCACCAATATTTTAAAGAAAAGAGATGTTCATGTTCCTGGCTATTAGTTTTTCAGTGAATGTCACAAACATTTGTATGAATACTGCTGCTGTGCACCTCTTTTAATAGGAATGCTTGCCATATTTAAATCTATGTGAAAATTAACACTTCTGTATGTTTTGTTCACTTAATTTGATTAATTTACTATCATAATTATTAGCATCATTATTACAATGGAGTACAGTGAGGGTAGGACTTTTTTCTTCCCTGGCTACCTAAGAATACCATTTAGTCATCCACGTAGTTGTTTATGTGCCAGAAATGACACTTATGAACAGACTGATATTCTACTGCTGGACTTGCAGCCCTGGCTATTCTACAGTCCAGCAAAGCACTCTTATTGCTATGTCATAGGTCAGTTGTTTCAGAAGCACTTTTCTAACACTTAATAACACTAACATAGCTATTTAATGAGAAATCCAGTCCACTGTCACGTCTCTCTTTCTCATCCACCTCCCTCTCCCCTTCCCCCCCACACATGCATGTGTGTGTTAGTGCTCTAGAATATGAGAAATCTAAGCAGATCAGGAGTCAGACCCTGTGAATAAGTGATTTCTCAACTGGTTGTCCAAATTAAAAGAAATATATATCAACTCTGGGCACTGTAAAATGAGATCATTTTGGAATTTTAAAAACATGAAAGCAACATATTTAATCTTGAGCAAAATATTTTATTCAACATGGAAAAAAATGTGTTTAGATTTTTTTTCGACATTATTTTAAAAAAATGACCCCCCCGCCCGCCCCCGCCCACAAAGGTCTAAATTCCTATAACAGAAAATATAGTATTTCTCCTTTATTTTATAGTTAAGTGTAGTTAGTACACACCTTGACTCTGGAAAATTAGGTGCAAATTTGCTGCCTGAATAAGAGCAAGGGTATTTACAAGCTCTTTGGACTTCCAGGGAAGAAGGGAGCTATGGTATATTCTGGACTGATGGCCTTCATGTCTCTCTTATTGAAACTGCTCCAGTTTTTCTAAAATACTTCACTGTTCACATATATGGGTGGGGGAACCCAATTGTCCTGTCACCTAGGTAAGGGCACAGACCTCTGCATTTTGGGGTCATTTTCATTCTTTTATTTTAGTTCACTTTCAAAAGCTTTCATGAAATCTCTGTGGTAGCTTCAGGATCGATGAACAGAAACCCATCCTAGAAGACCCATTAGCTTGATTGGGCAGTCTCCTGAGGAATACAGGGCTTTGTTTCAGTGCTCTGCTTTGAATCAAGTAGAAATGGCATTTGATCACATCTCAGTGTCTTTAAATGACTAGTGTGCTACAGGACTCTTCCAAGATACCTTTCTCAATGGTTAAATCTATAATCATTAAGTTCTAAAATGGTTTTGACACCATATTGGTAGTAGATCAGGGATGACCAAGAACATTTTTTTCCATAAGTAGTTTAGTCTCTAAAAAAGTTTTGCTCAGCTCTACCCACTGAGCTCTTCCATGAACACCCTGATAACATTTTCAGCACCTGCCATGGAACTAAGCTTATTTTCATTCTAGTACTTGTGTCTCCCTGTGAAGACTGAGAAGATTAGTCCAAGAAGTGTGCTAGCTTAGCGTGGTCTGGTTGTTGAGGTGGAGGTATGTCCCATAGGAGCATGACTGAGATATCTAAATTATGTTAATGATCTAGGTACAAAACTTGATGTTGTCACTAGATAGTCTTGAATTAGTAGAAAAGAGAAGCCTACCTTTTTGGCTTTACCCTTCCTAAGTTTTCTCCATTTTGGAACTTGCATGGAAGCATGAGGAATCATCATGACACAGAGCCTGTAGCACTGCATAACACATGATTATGTGATGATATTGTGACATTGCAACAGCTTGATGAAGCACTATCACCTATTAACCAGACATATACAATATATCAACAGTCTCCACTCAGACTATTTCTCTTCCTATTCCCACCTGAAATTTAGAAAATTGTAAGCCATCAAAAACATGTGGCTGCAGGTGTTTAGTAAAGGATCTGGGCTACCCCATGGTTCCACTCCTCATCACTACGTGGCTGGGTGTAGAGTGTGCAGTAACTGTCACTATGAAAAGACATGAAGTCACTTCCTGCATCCCAGAAGTAGAGGGCAGTACAGGAGGGACTAAATCACTTATCTTCCTTGAAGCTATTCCTGGTTCAGTCTGGATGTGCACCACTCCTTATTCATGGGAACTTGCAACATTTCAATTTAGTCCTTAATCTTGCATTCCTTTCCTTTTCGTATTTTTCGAACACTTTTTCTTCCTCTTCCTTATTGATGCTTGTTCCTTGCTGTTCCTGCTCCCTATCTACTATTCAACCCTGCTTGCTATTCTTGTGGCCCTACATCATTTCCTTTCATCCTCTAATATTAGATTTTGTCCTGTGCAAGAAAACCCCCCTGCCTCAAGTCTTAGCTCTTTTGTGACCCAAGTTCACAACCTGGAGTTCTGTCCTTGACTGATTTTAATTGGGTTACAGTCAGGCCTCAGTGAATCAGTTGTCTTTGTAACTCCTATGATCTCTTGCTGTCAAGTAACTCCCACTGAAGTGGCTCATGGGAAATGATGCTAAACAAGAAATTTGCTGCAGGTAGTATCTTGCTTTGTTCTCCATGTCAGCATTGGTTTTTAACTTTTAATTTCCTAGGAACATGAGAATTGTATGATATTCTCACAAACAATGCAGTGCCCTTGAGCCATGAGTGGGGACTAGTGCCTAGTGGTAGCCCCTGTACTTTGCTAAGACTGCAAATGCTATTGCATAGAAGGTACCTCTATGAGCATTTGCATGGGACTTCTTTCTGGCTACTAAATCTTGTACTAAAAAACCAGGGATCCCTAGATGGAACTGCAATGCATACATATATTTTCAGTGGAGCAAGCACAAACAGGTACCTGCAATGCATATTGACTGATCAGTGGAGTCAAATGACTTCTTGTCTTGTTTTGAACATAGTCCCTGAGAGCCACAAATGCCTACAATATCTCTCAATCTGTTAAGCACTGTGTGCAATAAATCACAGGAAATAAAGAAAACAAAGACCAGTCTCCATGAAATCTTTATCAGTAGTGGGCAAACAACGGTTTCTTTATTATCTAAATAAAGTGGTGAGAATCACCATGTTCACTGTTGGACCTATACACCTCTTCATTGTTATCATGTGCTTCCTTCCCTTCTCATTGTTTTTATGGTTGTCCCCCTTTGTTTACTGTCTAAATATTAGGTTGTGAGCTCTCATGTGCAGGGACTGTCTTGTTATTTGTTTATTTGTTTGTTTATTCATTTTAACATAATGGGGTCCTGGTCCAAGACTAGGAGTCAAGTATTACATAACAATAATTGAATTTGTGATACTGGGATGGCCAGCCTGAGAGATGTGTGCTACAAATGTGTTACGTCTAATGTTGCTATTATGGGTCTTGTACCAAGTATGGAGACTAGGACATGGTTGTCTTAACTATAAGCAAATGTATTAAACTCTAACAGTTACAATTCTAAATCAAAAGCAAAATAACTACAGCAGTTACAATACTATTATTCTAGTTAGCCAAAAGCAATACATCATGCTCACCACTCAAAATATAATGAATGTGATATCACTGGTTGATCAGGCTGTGAGGTCTTGTCTGGGCCTCCTGCATCCTATGTCTGAGTTCTGCACAGGGTACAATCTTGGATTGGTGTTTGGATAGTATTCAGTACGGCTGTGCGAGTCGTCAGCGATCCAATCCGGTTTTGGATCTGGATGCTTTGGATGGCCATGATCCGATCTGGAGCTCTGGACTGGGTTTCCATCTCAATCCAGCCGAAGCAGCTCTGAAGCTTCAGAGCCGCCTTGGTGATCCGACCATAGGGTATAATGGGGGATCAATGGAAGAGCTATAACTTTGTTATTTTTTGTATGATTTGGATGAAACTTGTAAGGATGATAGCTTTGCCTAGGAGCATAAAGCCTACCAAGTTTCAAGAAAATTGGTGCAGGAGTTTGGGGGAAACTGTACCCCAAATTCTTGAAAGTCAAATTCATGTCACGGCGGTGTATTACACCACAGGGGGCTAACAGCTGCAGGAATGGTAGCTCTTACTGAGGCCACAAAGCCTGCCAAGTTTCAAGAAGATCAGTGCAGGCGTTGGGGGGAACTGAACCCCAAATGCTTAAAAGCAAAGCTCCTGTCACATCTATGTTACAACACAGGGGGCTGAAACCTGCTGGGCCGGTGGCTCTTACCAAGGCCACAATGCCTGCCAAGTTTCAAGAAGATTCATGCAGGGGTTGGGGGGGAACTGCACCCCAAGCTGCTGACAGGTAAAACTTGTGACACAAATGACCCTGTGTGCGTTAAGGCGCAGCAGGCTGAAAACTGCAGGGGTGGTAGCTCTTACTGAGGCCACAATGCCTGCCAGCTATGTGTCCTAGAGCAGGCCTGAGTGAGTGCTAGGCCCTGCCAGGCCACAAAGCCTGCCAGCTGTGTGTGTCTCACTGGGGGAGTCTGTCGTTTGGGGCCCTGCACCCCAAGCTGCTGACAGGCAAAACACGTCATGTGGGTGGGTGACACTGTGTGTGTGTTAAGGTGCGCCCTTCCTGGTGCTGGGGCCTCTGCACAACATGTCAGTGTGCCCCACTGAGACCTCCTGCTCCCCTACAGCCTCATGCCCGGTCCTCTGCTTTACATGACAACAGGTACAATAACTTAGCAGGCTCAACACCAGTAGCATCAGCAGCAGCATCAAAAGTACCCAAACTGAAATGTCACAGAGCCTGTAATTTTATAAAGGAATTGACAGCAAGAAGTAAAGATGTTGTGTTGTGTTGTGTTGTGTTGTGTTGGACATATGATGTTATTAGAGTTGGAGTACTACGTCCAGTATTGGGCGCCGCACTTCAAAAGGGATGTGGCCAGCCTGGAGAGGGTTCAGAGGA